GGATGGGGCTTGGAGCAGCCTGGGCTGCTGGGAGGTGTCCCTGCCCATGCAGGGGGGGTTGAAATGAGATGATTTTTAAGGTCCCTTCCACCCCAAACCATTCCATGGCTCTACCATGTGACCTGTTTTCTGTTCCCCTGTTTTATTATTTCCTCCTTTCCTTGGTCCTGCACCTCCCTGTTCAGGAGGGCACTGACACCAGACACTCTGGATCTTTATTTCCTCAAGATCACAGACCTGAGAACTGTAGCTGGCAGCAGCATTTTCCCTTCCCTGGGCACTCCTAAGTGCCCCAGGATGTGGCTGCAGAGAAGTGTCAGATCAGGGGGGGCAGCTGCAGAGAGAGGGGCCCTGATTCAGCCCAGGGTCACACTGCAACCAGCTCTGGGTTGCAATCCTGACTGTGCCACCAGGAATCTTCCCACCAACCAGGTTTCCTTCCTCACCCAGTGCATCTGCATTTCCCTGGGGACTTCACCCCTCCTGTGCAGCCTGGATCCCGTGTCCTGACCCAGCCCAGCCCCAGAGCCCCTTCCCAGAGCTGCCCAGTGTCACTCCTGGGAACAGCTGGGAATGCTGCTCTTTCCTCTGCTCCCAGCTTGCTCAGCTGGCTGCTGCTCCCCCCCAGTTCTCTCCCCTCACTCTCTCTTCTCTCTCTCTCCTCTCTTGCTGTCCTTTCTAGTCCATGTCTGAAAAGAAGTTTGACTACCGGGAATTTGCTGCTATTCCTTCCTCCAAACCAGTTTACGAAATCCAGGTATAAACTGCACGTTGAGCCCCCCAGGTGGGCAGGGCTTGTTCTGCTGGAGCTGGTGACCTGCAGGGCTGAGCCTGAACCTGGGGGGGCAGTGACAGCCACCCGTGCTGGGAGCTGAGGGTCTGGTGGAGAATCACTGGGGGCACTGACAACACTGGTAGAATTAACAGCTCTGCAGTTACAGAGCAGCCACGTCTTCCCCTGAACTGATCCTGAGGGACCTTGAAGTGAAAGATGAGACCTAAAAAAAGGGGAAGAAAAGAGCTATGGCAGTGATTGCCAACAGACTGCAGAGCAGGTGTTCCCTCCCAGCTGGGATGTGCAGAGCCTGCCCAGGGAGCAGCTGTGGGGACAATTCCCAGGTGCTGTCAGTGCTGTGGGTGAGCTGAGGTCCCCCTGTGGGAAGGGGACACCAGGCTTGAGGGAAAACACCCTGGTGAGGTGGTTCTCCTGCCTGGAAGAACCTCCTTCCACTGATGACTTGTCATAGACTCACAGAAGGGTCAAGGTTGGACGGGACCTTGGAGGTTCCAACCCCCCTGCTCAGGCAGGGCCACCTAGAACCAGTTGCTCAGGACAATGAGCTGCCTTTCTTGTCTAGGTGAGCCAAAGGTGGTCCTTCTGCTGACCAGGTGTTTGGAATTCCTGGGGATTTCCTGATAAAAGGCATTGCATGGGCTGGTGTGGAAGCCACAGCAGCTGCACTTCCTGCTCTGGGTGCCCATTGGCCAGAGATGGAGGGACCCAAGGCTTTAGGTTGGACATTAGGAGGAAGTTCTTCACTCTGAGGGTGGGGAGATGCTGGAACAGGTTGAGTTGTGGCTGCCCCATCCCTGGGGGTGTTGAAGGGCAGGTTGGATGGGGCTTGGAGCAGCCTGGGCTCTGGGAGGTGTCCCTGCCCATGCAGGGGGGCACTGGGTGGGCTTTGAGGTCCCACCACCCCAAACCATCCCACAGTCCTACAACTAAAGAATTCAGCTCCTCACTTGTGCTCTTGACCTGAGCAACAAGAGCCCTGAAAAATCAAGTTTTGATCAGTAGTGGCTGGAACTTTTGGATGAATTTGGCTTTATTAAACCTGCTGGACACTGAGCTCCCCTGAAACCCCCTCCTGGCATTTGTGGAGCTCAGAGAAGTGTGGAGCTCAGTGCAAATACAAAATAAACCATAGAACAGAGATACCTGCAAGCCTGGAAGGAGCAGTAGGAGTAACAAAGGCAGCAGGTCTGCAGCAAACCCTGAGCCCCAGGGGATGCTCTGACCTCCCTGGCCTGGGAGCTCCAGGAGCAGCCAGGATGGATTCTCTGTTCCAGCCAGACCAGCAGGGCCTGGGGCTGCTGCCCATCCCAGCCTGGAGCTGCTTTCACACCAGCTCAAGCTCCTCACCCCAAGCAAAGCTGTTTTCTCAGGGTGTTGTTACTCAGCTCTGGTGAGCTCCAGGCAGGTGGTTGGAATGTTCCTCAGGCTGTGAGGGAGTTTTAATTAACAGCAAAGGCTCCAGGATTGGGGAGGGGCAGCTGGAAAGTGCCCGGGGGAGAAGGACCTGGGCGGGGTGGTCAACAGGGTCTGGAGATGAGCCAGGGTGTGCCCAGCTTGGCCACCAGCATCCTGGCTTGTGTCAGCACTGGGGTGGCCACCAGAAGCAGGGCAGGGATCATGTCCCTGTGCTGGGCACTGGGGACACCTCAAACCCTGGGGTGAGGTTTGGGTGAGGGAAGGGACCTGGAGGGGCTGGAGCGTGTCCAGGGAAGGGCCCTGGAGCTGGGGAAGGGGCTGGAGCAGAAGGAGAAGGGGCTGGAGAACTTGTGAGGAGCAGCTGAGGGAGTTGGGGGTGCTGATCCTGGAGCAAAGGAGGCTGAGGGGAGACCTTCTGGCTCTGCAGCTGCTGAGAGGAGGTTGGAGCCAGGGGGGTCGGGCTCTGCTCCCCAGGAACAAGCCCTGGGCCAAGAGGGAACGGCCTCAAGTTGTGCCAGGGGAGGTTGAGGTTGGATCTGGGGAACAATTCCTGCCTGGCAAGGGTTGTCAGGGCCTGGCCCAGGCTGCCCAGGGCAGGGGGGGAGTCCCCATCCCTGGGGGGGTTTCCAAGCCCTGGAGATGGTGCTGAGGGACGTGGGTTGGTGGACATGTGGGGTTGGGTTGATGGTTGGACTCCATGACCTTGGAGCTCTTTTTGCAGCCTCAGTGACTCTGACAGGTCCAGTTCCAGGACCACCATAAAGCCATTTCTCCCAAGCTGCCTCTGCCATCTCTTGGCTCCCTGTTCCACTTCAGTTCTCTCCTCACACCTGCATATAGAGACAGAAGGTGGTTCCACGTGAGGAGCTGGGCCTGGGAACAGGGAAGGTGAAGAATTGGGCTCCGGGACCCCAAGGAAATGCAGCTCCCAAGTTTCTGCTCATTCTCTAGTCTTCCCACTTTCTGCCTCTCGTGTCCCCTCCTGTCCCCTCCTCCCCACACACAGGTGAAGCAGGAGAGCCCTGATGGGGGGACACCCCCCTGTCCTGCCCACAGCCTGATGGTCTCCAGCAGGGGACTGGGTGCAGCCACCCACCCAGGTGCTGTTCCCCAGGTTCTCTGCAGGGTGCTGGGAGGCTGCAGGTGGGGAACCACCTGGCAGGGGTGTTGCAGAGGTGGGTGCTCAGGTCTTCTCTTCTCTTGCAGTCACCTGATGCAGCTGATGACCTCAGATACGTGGATGACAGAAATAACTCGGGTAAGTTCAGCACCAAAGGTGTCATCTTCCCACTCCTTCCTTCACCCCCCTCAGCTCCAGGGGGTTCCCCTTGGCCTGCCTGTGGAATCCACCCCAAGGACTTCAATTCCTGCATGTCCTGTTCTATCTGTTCTAGAATGAACCCTCCCAACTGGCCTCGTTGAGCTCTGGGTAGGATGTTTGCATTGAGTGGTGGCTGATCTGCTGAGAATGGTGTGGAACAAGCATGTCCCCTTCTGCCTTTGTGGTCTGGAGTGGGGAGTGGTTGCAGAACAGGGGTGGGAAGTTTTGGCCTCTGTCACCTGCTGGAAGTAGATAATATCTATGGTTCAGGGGCTCCTGCCCCTCTGCCTAGAGACAAGTCTCTTGCTGCCTGTGGGGAAATGCAGCTGAGGACTGAGAGCATCTGGGTGACTCCCCACTTGTGGATTGTGCAGGGTCGTAGAGTCACAGGGTGGTGGGGCTGGAAGGGACCCCTGGAGATCACCCATCCAGGCCTGGAGACACCCCAGCCCCTCTGGGGGTTCCTGTGGGATCTGCTGGGGGTGACCCTGCCCTGGGGGCTGGGAGGGGGGGTCTCCAGAGCTCCCTCACCACTCTGTGACTTCTGTTGAGCTTGAGCATCATCCAGGAGTGTAAAAATAACCTGAAGTCAGCACAAGGTTCTGGCTGGTCCTGCCTGGTCTGATGGGAGCCCCTGGGAACACCAAGGAAAGAGCATCAGAGGAGAAGAGCAGGGAGTGATTCCTCCTGGAAGTCCTCCAGGCTGCAGGGAGCTGTGGGTTAGCACTTTGGAAGCCAGGGCCTTCCCTTTGGGAGTGGCTTCAGTTCTTCCTCTCTCATTTGCAGTAAATTTCACCTTCCTGATCATTGCCCAGTGAACCTGGGAAAAGCCTAAATACCCTTTTTGTTGTTGAGTTTCATTGGGTTACCCTGATATCACAGAATCATGGGATGGGTTGGGTTGGAGGGACCTTAAAGCCCATCCAGATCCAACCCCTGCATGGGCAGGGACCCCCCCCAGCAGCCCAGGCTGCCCCAAGCCCCATCCAGGCTGCCCTGGGACACTTCCAGGCAGGAAT